CCCTCCCCGCAGCATCCTGGCACCCGCATGGGCACATCGTTTCGTCGTCAGCATCGTCTCCTGGCCCTGAGCGCGCCACATGGCAGCGTCCGCAAGAACAGGAGAGGAGCTTCCCCCTGACAGCGAGGAGGGTGCTGCTTTCGCAGGTGCCTTCGCCCTTTCTTGGGATCCGGGTCCTCTGGAGGCCCGTGGGGACTGATATGACGATTTCCGAGGTCGACCCAAGCGGCTGCGGAATCATCGGGCCCTTCGCCACGATAGTCCAATCTCACTCAATCGACGTCTCAGCGACCCCTTCACGGACGGGCATGAAGGACCCGCGCATTGGGATTTACATGCCCCCTCCATTCCGAAGACGGGCCGCAGAACCTCAGGGAGCGGTGGTCATCTCTGCCTTCGTAGGTGGTCAGCATGTTGTTCCCGAGCGACTGTCTGTCAAGGACCCTCGGGGGCGTGACTCCAGGAGCGGCTGATGTTGTCGGAGGGCACCAACAATACACAGACACCGATCCTGGCCAGGCCGATCCTGGTCCCAGGCTCGGTGTATACCATGCATTCTGCCCATGGCAGGAGGGCTTGTACACCGATCCTGGACCCAGGGTGATCCTGGCCAGGATCGGCGTTGCTGTATAGTTTCTGCCTTCCTATGTTGGTACTTCCTGACGGGGCAACTATTGCCGCCATGATCGCAAGTGCTTCCGCTCCCGCTCCTCCGGCGGGGCAACAGATCTGAAGCGTACACTGGAGACCCATGCCAAGAAACACCCTGCGTGCCTCCAGGGTGCCCTGGGTTTCTAGGATTTCGATGGTTTTGCTATGGAAAGCGTGACGTTCCAACACCAAGCATCTGTGGAAGCCCTGGGGTCTCAGGGTTGGGTTTCTTGTGGAAGGCTTCTGGTGGTCGAGCCCCTACTGTACACAGCTTCTGTGCAGGAGCGCGTGAACTCTAGCCTTGCACTGCTGTAGCGATGTATGCCTGCCTGCCTATGCCGTCGTCGTCCTCGTGTTTCCTCAGAGAACTTCCCGAGGCCTCCAGAGGTCACTGGGTGCTCCTCGAGGCCACTGATCCTTCAAGAGCCTTCGGCAGCCTCCGTTCACTGCGAGAGCTGGGTGGGAGGAGATGGAGTCAACCTCTGGTGGCTTGGCGGGTTTTAGGGAGCCCGCCCACCTCCCTTGCTCCACAGGCGGTTTGGGCCTTCACGGTTACGGAACGTGCAAGCTGCTGATGCTCTCTGCGCCAGGCGTGGGAGAGGAGGGGGAGGAGGATGAGGAGGGGGAGGAGGAGGGGGAGGAAGAGGAGGGGGAGGAGGAGGAGGAGGAGGAGGAAGAGGAGGAGGGGGAGGAGGAGGAGGAGGGGGAACAGGATGAGGAGGGGGAGGAGAGGAGGAGGAGGAGGAGGAGGAGGAGGAGGAGGAGGAGGAGGAGGAGGAGGAGGAGGAGGAGGAGCAACGACTGGCCGCCCAACAACGACTGGCAGCCGTTTCGGCTCAGGCCAGCCGCCGCGGGGTCGCCTCGCGCTCACCGCCGCCGCCTCTGCTGGGCGCTGGCCGGGCGGCCGCGGCGGCCACTGGGCGGCTGGCCGCCGGCGGGCTCGACTGCCGCGCCGACCCAGGCCCCGGCTCGAGGCCAGCGCTCCAGACGTCGGGCCGCTCCAGTTTTTGTTGCGAGGCGCGGGCAGGTTTCTCGTGCTCGGTCGTTCTGTGTCGACGGCCCCGCGGCCCGACCTGAGGGCCCCGGGAGGCCGCACGCGGCCAAGAAAGTCCTCCCGCTCTCCAAGTTTCTCGGGGCGTCGGCTCGCTGGGACTGCCCCGCCCGGCGCCTGGGCCTCGCCTCGAGGCCGGCGCCGCCCGACGCCGCAGCCGCGCTGCCGCCCATGGCCGCGCGGGCGGCTGCAGCGGCCGCCGCGCTGGCCGGCGGGCTCGGCGCCGCGGCGCTGGCGTCGCGGCTGTCGCGCCGGCCCGCGCCCGCGCGCGCGCCGGCGGCGGGCGGCGGAGGCGGCTTCCTCGGGCCAGCGTGTGCAGGCGGCGGCGCCGTTGCGGCGGACATTCGGAATAACGCACGAGCGTGCGAGCGACGCAGCAGATCGTTGAGGAAAGGACAGCCCCTAAGCCTCATAGCGCGATGCAGGCGTGGCCTCACTGAGGTCCCCGTCTGCGCACCAGGGATACCACCTCTGGGCAGTTTGGTTCGATACATCGGCAGAAAAGACCCCCTATCCCTAATGTTCCAGGCCCTCCGAACTGAGGTCACCTCGCAAAGGGTTAGAGTTCTTCAGCAAACGTCGTTTCATCCCGAGTTGTTTTTTGACGGTCCCGAGGCCCAGTACAGGCTCCCAGAAGCTGAACAGAGCGAAGCCCTCCGTCGTGACTTGTGTCAAGACTCGGGGGGATCTGAGTAAGTTGTGATAGTCCCTCCTCGCCTCCTCCTCCAGATGAGCGACGCAACAAAATCTTGGTCGTCTGCGCTGGCATTGGCAAGCGCCCGCGTCTCCAATGCAGCGTGCCACGCTGGCGGCCCGCGCAAGCCGCGTGAGGTCGCTGTGTCACCTAGCATAAGCACCGTTCCTGGTCGTCGCTCACGTGGAAGCGTGCTTCCTTTTGGAGTCCGAGCCGACTCCGGTAACAGTGCTCACATGTGATGAGCGGATGTGATCGTTTTTTGTATCAATTGTTTTGCCGATCGGCGCGGGCCCTCGCAATCCCCCCCCCTCCGTGGAGGAGATCTTGGCTGTTTTTCGGCGCCGGTCTCGAGCGGGTAGAGGCTCCCCTCATAGAACGCACTGCTGCGCTCCCTCAGGTCTGCAATCTCATCCCGCACTGGGTTCAATGCCTCCTCGATGGCCGTGGCGGTGTCCCCCGGGTTAGTGGAGTGGAGGGCGAGAAGACTGCGTGGCCATCTGGCTACTCATGAAGCATGTTGTAGATAGTCCTTTCGCACGAAGAGCTCTGCAGCGCACTAAGCAGAGGTCCGGAGCCAGACCCCCCCCCTTCCCCCCCCCTTCCGCCCAATGGCGAAACGCCGAGTAAAACAAGCGCTCACGATCCTGTTCTTGAGGGGTGTTCTTTCGGCGTCATCCCCACATACTCATACGACATGTGCGTCGCCCCCCCAGGGGCGACGCGGGCACCGAGCAATCTTACAGTGCATGCGTCTTGGCCGGCGCTTTCTGGCCACACCGCTCGGGAAACGATATACTGCAAGATGGTTCTACTCTATGTTCGGGTCGGACGCACGCCCACAAGGCGGACATGTAGTACTAGTACAGTCAACCCGCATAGTAAGGATGGGCAACCTTCCCAAGGGTATCCTTGTATCCTTGCCTCCTCGGTGCATCCTTGGCCACTTTCGTTGGCCGCGCTCCGCTCGAAGCGCTTCGGAATGGGCTTCCAAGGGCCTTGCATCCTCATCGCGCATCCTTACTCTGCGGGTTGACTGTACTACAAGATGGTTCTACTCTTTGTTCGGGTCGGACGCACGCCTCCACGGCGGGCAAGCCGTACGGGTGTGTCCTTGTGCGTCCCACTCTTGGAGGCCCGTGCGGCTTCGGGGGGGGGGGGGCGCGGCGCAGGGCGCCCCCCCCCGACCCCTGCGCCGCTCTGCACGAACGATATGGGCACGGAAAGAACGGGTACAGTGCCCAACAGGTGTTCCTGTCCGTTTTGAGCAGGACTCGCTGTCCGCGCCGCCGCGGCCTGTGTCCCTTCGAGGCAGAAGGCCGCCCTCCCCAACAGCGGCCGCTGCTGGTTTGGGACAGCGTGTGTTGTTGGGCACAGTACCCATTGTTTCCGTGCCCATTTCGGGCGTCCAAACTCAGAGCCCCGAATCATCAGGGGTAACTCGGGTCAGGGCTGACTCGGGTTCGCTTTGGGGGATTCCGAACCCGAGTTACCCCGGGCCCGAGTTACCCCGGATAATTCGGGCGTCCAGAGCCCCGAATCATCAGGGGTAACTCGGGTCAGGGCTAACTCGGGCTCCTTTTTCGGGAATCCAAACCCGAGTTACCCCGGACCCGAGTTGACCCCGATAACTCGGGCGCCCAACAAACCCGACCCCTGCGCTGCCATGCAGGGCAGTGGCGCGGCGCGGGAGGCCCCGCGCCGACCCTCGGCCACGCGCAGGGAGAGGGGCAGGGCCACGTCGGGCTTGTGCCTCGTAGTCAAAAGTAGTTCAAGCATGGCCTGGGGACGAATGTTCGGTAATTGTTTTGACCATGCTTGAATACGTTTGGACCATGCCGATGTCAAGCAAAAACAGAAGAGGTATGTTTGACCATTTTTTAAGTGTCCTCCAAGATCTGCTTGTAGGGGTACACGCTCGACTCAGGGGCAGGGGGAGGTGGGAAGGCTCCTTAGGAGCACCAAGCTTTTCCGCCGTCGGGGGCGCCTGCCCCCCGGGCGGCTGCAGAGTTTATACCCCTTTGGTGCCACGTAGGGGTGTAACCTTTCCAGCCGCCCTGGGCGGGGGGGGGGCAGGAGTCCCCGACGGCGGACAAGCTCATGTGATACCGTTCCTCGCCCACTGCTTCTTATAAGGTGCGGGCCTTGTCTGTAGTTGTAAGGCCGGCGCCTTCGAAGAAGCAGCCTCCTAAGCAACCTTGCCGCCTCCCCCTGCCCCCATGTGCGGGCCGCCAAGACCCAAGGAATCCACTCGGACCCGACCAGGAGATGCGAGGCTCATAACAACAAGTTAGCGTCCGGTTTTTGGCCTTGTTCGGCCTCGCTGGGCCTCGGGACCGTTATCAAAACGACCCAGGACGAAACTCCTGCCCTGGGGAACTCGTGCAGACTGGCAATGCAAACTGCTTCAGTCAGAGCGCCAGATCTCGCCGGATTCTGCAGCTCCAGGGTCGCATTGACCCTGGTTTGGGCGCAGGATCGTGCAGAGCCTACCTGATCCGGGTTTGGATTGACCGGGTGAGCAGATCCCCGACCGACATCCAGGGCCCACGCATCGACGAACATCGGAGCGGCCCGACAGTTTGGGAGAGAGACTCGGCACTAATGGTGCTTGCTGTCGGTCCTCTAGGACAGGCCCGTCCGGCTGCTGTCCCAGAACGTCTGGAATTCCTTCTTCGCTGGTGGGCCCGGCCGTGGGGAGCGCCTGCGCGCCCTTGTGGAGTTCTTGCGGGGGCACGAGGTGGACGTCGTTGTCGTCCAGGAGATGTTCGCGATGGGCCTGGGTCCGCTGGTGGACTGCGTGGACGCGGACGCCGCCGCGGAGGCGATGCGGGGCCTCGGCTTCGTGTACCAGACGCGCCCCCTCGAGACCTTGCCTCAGGCGTCGGCGACCGGCCGTCTAATCCATGCGCCTTCTGCACTAACACCCACTCTGCGCGTCTATACGGGCAGGGCGTAGATAAAAAGAGACTGCCCCCAGAGGCCAGCAAGTTTCCCTGCCCACGCTCCGCCCCCTTGTCGTGGTCCAGCGTGAGCAAGTAAGCGCGGGTTCAACTTTGAATGCCGCTGGTGGTTCAGAATCGGGGCACATTGAACGATCTTAGATTTGGAAAAGCCGCGATCCACACGGTGCCAGGAACCAATGCCGACGTCATAGCGACGTGACCTTGCCGCCGTGTTATCAACACTATACCTCATAGGCCACTCATCGGGTGATAAGAAGGTTGGGGGCGAAACCATAGTTGATGTGAATTGGACGCACACTTCAATTCTCGACTCTTCGCGTATCCCCTCTCATGGGATCGACGATCCATTCTGAACCACCAGAGGAGCCTCGGAAGGGATCGACTGGGATGACGACGCCAACAAGAAGTCCGAGCCGGACGTCCAGGCACACGACAGCCCGCCAGACCCTTCCGACTCTGGGTCGCAGGACAGCCCTACACACCAGGCGGACGACGCAGACAGTCCAGCACCCACCGACCGGAAGACGGCCCAAAGTCCCCCCCCCTCTGGACCCAGCCCCCCCGCAGGGCCGACTCGAAAGCCTGGTCCCCATATGCGCAGGCTGCTGATCGAGGAGCACCTAGCGACGCATGGAGGAGGGTCGAAGCCCGCCCCAGAGAGGAGCGAACCTGGAACGTTCGCGCTGTCAGTGACGGCCGGACACTCAGACAATCGGGGAACGAAGCGGGCCGCCGACCACCCACAATCGACAAAGACAGCACCAGAGAACGCTCAGCCACACCGCTTCGCAGCTCACCCAGGCCGTGGCACAGCACCCAGGGCTGGTGGCGCGACGCACAGACACAGACAGAGTACGTTCACGCACGCCTCGGCACACTCACGCTCGCGCCTCGACAGGATCTACTTGAACCAGCACACGGCTGAGCAGCTTGACCGGCACATGACGTGCTGGGCTCTCCCTTGGCGCGCGGATCTTTCAGCGCACCAGGCAGTGCTCTTCTCCAGGCGATCCCCGCAGCGGCTCCCGCTGCACCTGAGGCCCATTCCAGACCGCGCAATCCGCCACGAGGACTACGAGCGGCGGGTGCACTTGGAGTACCATCAACGCTTGCGCGATCACCCTGGCGACTGGGGCGTCCAGAAGCTACGGCACTTGAAGGGGGCCATGCGGCAGGTGGGGCTCAACCTGGAGGGGGAGTGGGGAGGTGTGCCTGAGGCGGTGACGTTGGAGGACCGCCTCGGTGTCGTTCTCCGCTTTCTTCGGGCCTTCGAACGGGGCTTTGCGGGCGACGTGTCTTCCTGCCTCCTCCGCTATCCTCAGCTCCGGGAGTTGGTCGACAATCCCTACGCGTTTGAGGGCAACGTCTCGGGTAAGCTCCAGCGCGCGCGGGACCACGCCTTGGAGTTGGCGCGCGATCGCGCATTGGACGAGCTCGGCAAATCTCATGCCGATCTTACTGGGACGGACGCGTTCCAGGCATCCAAGGCGCGGGTCAAGAACAACAGGCTCATCTTTCGGCTGCGGCCAGGGCGCGCCTCGGCGGTAGATGGCGTCCTCGACCAGCGCGGCGAAGCCAAGACGACTCCGGAGGAGATGGCTGGGGCGCTGCGAACGCATTGGTCGAAGGTGTTTCAGCGACGCGGTGTCGATGAAGAAGGGTTGCAGGATTGGCTGGATCAAGATTCTGAGCACCGCCCTCTTGCCCACTTGAGGCCGCTCCCGCCGCGGAGCTTCCGGCTACGAAAACATCATATCAAAGATGCCATCCGCGGGTCTTCTTGCTTTTCGCCGGGCCCGGACGGACCCCCTTTCTTGGCTTGGCGGCGGATCGAGGCGCTTGCCGTGGAGGTATTTTATGAAGTCTTCGGGGACATCTGCAGCGAGGACGGCGCGCGACGTCTCCATGAGTTCGCCGAGGACTTTAATCACAGCCTCTTGCTCTTCATCCCGAAAGGCCCTCCGGAGACTTCAGGCCAGGGCGAGGCGCGCCACGCCGTGGACAAGGTCAGGCCGCTGAACGTCACCAACACGGACAATAGGCTCCGGGCCAACGCGGCGCGCATGGTGGAGGAGGACGCGGTGGCAGCAAGGATCTCCCCTTCACAGCGGGGAATCTTCCCCGGAAGGTCCATGCTCTCCAACTTGGTGGACGTTGAGGAGGCCTTAGCGGAGCACTGCGTGGACAACGACGGTTCGATGGCCATCTTCTTTGATTTTGAGGCCGCGTTCCCGTCTATTGAGCACGGCTTCCTCCTCCAGCTACTCCGACATTTTGGTCCCCCTGGCAGGCTCGCAGGTGCTTCACCACTAGACGACGGTGCTTCACGCCTGCGGATCTCTTCGCTTCAGGTATCGGCATCGCAGTTGCGCCTTGGGCACAGCCGCATGGCTCCACCTGGCACTGGGGGGCGGA